AGTTTGGAAACTGATTGATTGATTGCTTCTGTGGACAGGTGTCTTTTATACAGGTAACAAGCTGAGATTAGGAGCACTCCCTTTAAGAGTGTGCTCCTAATCTCAGCTCGTTACCTGTATAAAAGACACCTGGGAGCCAGAAATCTTTCTGATTGAGAGGGGTCAAATACTTATTTCCCTCATTAAAATGTAAATCAATTCATAAAAATTTTGACATGCGTTTTTCTGGATTTTTTGGTTGTTATTCTGTCTCGCACTGTTCAAATAAACCTACTATTAAAATTATAGACTGATCATTTCTTTGTCAGTGGGCAAATGTACAAAATCAGCAGGGGATCAAATACTTTTTTCCCTCACTGTATATATATACATATTCAATTCAATTGCAATTTAGATCAATGAATAAGTCAAAACCCAAAGGCTTATTTGGCAATAGCAGGCTAGCCTACTTTACGTGCCCTTGCACGAGGCTGGCCCTTTTGAGAAATCAAATTCTGCTAGCCTAGGCATAGCCTATTCTGCAACATGATTCATGTGCACACATTTATTTGCCAATAAATAATAAGTCCATACAGTGTGGGCTAAGACTTTAGTTATAGAGCACGTTACACTGTAAAACCATGAAACGTGACACGTTTGTAACCTAAACGTCAGTATTTAAAACTAAAAAAGTTGGCATTTAGATCTGCCAATGAGTGTTCTTACCTTAAACACAGGCATTTAGAATGAAAGATTAAACATGCTAGTCAGCTTTTTCCAGTCAGTTTGCAAGCAGGAGAACACAATGTATCTCCTACGTGTTCACATTTTAAACACTAGTGTTTACTTTCACATCGTCTTGTTTAGAGTGTATTTAGTCATTAGAAATTGATGTAACTTTCCATGCCTTTTATTCAGATCACTTTACCTACATTACAGCACAATAATTGTTTTAAATCTTGTGGTGTTGTTGTTACTCGACTCTGTTGAGTTCATTTCCGTTAACTCTCTTAGAGCGAAAAGGGGTCTCATTATCATATTTCCCAGCATGCTTTGTTGCAGGTAGATTTTTTTGAATAATTTGTTTTAATATCTATGTTTCCTCATGCACGTTGATGGATTCATTGATTTTAAACTATAAAAAGATGAATAACTTAAATTTGTCTAAAACTAATCCAATCTGTACGGGGTTGGACTTATTGCACCCGTTACTGAGATGGTTGTTCCAGTTTACATGGTTTAGGTAGTATTGATTGTTGAGTACTTCACTATAGCAATCATGCTTAGTGCAGGTTATGGGTGATAAAATATTCAAATTGTTGGATTTCCTCACTCTGTCTGGATTCTGATAGGAATTACTACTCACTTCACAAACCAGCATAGTGTGACTTGAGGATCTGATGTTGCCAATGAGCCAGGATTTCAGACCCCAATATTGGGGATACAATTTGTAAATGTGGTCATGAAGGTTTTAATTAAGCGATAAGGCCTGAGGAGGTGTGATATATGGCCAACATAACATGGCTAAGAGCTGTTCTTATGCGCAACGCAGAGTGCCTGGATACAGCCATTAGCCGTGGTATATTGGCCACATACCACCGAGGTGCCTTACTGCTATTATAAACTGGCTACCAACGTAATTCGGAAAATAAAATACATGTTTTGTTTTACCTGTGATATAGGGTCTGATATACCACACCTTTCAGCATTCATGGCTCTAAGTACCCAATTTATAATTTAAAATAAACACATACACTTGGCCAGTCACTTTGTGAAAACTTCAGGAATATAAATGCTTAAATGCAACAATTATGTTTCTGTCACTAACAAACACAGTCATGGGTGGGTAACACTCATATTCACTAGAAAGGCATGCTGGGAAATATGCAAATATGTCTTTACATCCTTTTCAAACAACACCCCCAGTGTTTAGTTTTTAAAACCTAAATGCCTTGTGCTGAATAAAGTGTTAATGTGTTTAAAAAGTGTTACAGTGAAAAGAAACATGTTCTGGTGTTTACAATCTAAACACTGACAAGTTTTAATTGACATTTTAAATGCCTTGAGATGCTTAAAAAGTGTTACAGAAAGGTGTTTCGTTTTGTGTTCAGATCCCAAACACTTGTTTTTTGACAGTGTAGGCTAGGCCTACTTAATTTGCATGCACGTGCCCTGCTGCTACCTGTTTGTCTGTGAAATATATATAGTACCAGTCCAAAGTTTGGACACACCGACTCATTCAAAGGTTTTCATAATTTTTACTATTTTCTACATTGTAGAAGTAGTAGCAACCCTTTGCCTTGATGACAGCTTTGCACACTATTTGCATTCTCTCAACCAGCTTCATGAGGTAGTCACCTGGAATGCATTTCAATTAACAGGTGTGCCTTCTTAAAAGTTAATTTGTGGAATTTCTTTCCTTCTTAATGCGTTTGAGCCAATCAGTTGTGTTGTGACAAGGTAGGAGTGGTATACAGAAGACAGCCCTATTTGGTAAAAAGAACAGTCCATATTATGGCAAGAACAGCTCAAATAAGCAAAGAGAAATAACAATCCATCATTACTTTAAGACATGAAGGTCAGTCAATCCAGAACATTTTAAGAACTTTGAACGTTTCTTCAAGTGCAGTCGCGAAAACCATCAAGCGCTATGATGAAACTGGCTCTCATGAGGACCGCCACAGGAAAGGAAGGATAAGTTCATTAGAGTTACAGCCTCAGAAATTGCAGCCCAAATAAATGCTTCACAGTGTTCAAGTAACAGACACATCTCAACATCAATTGTTCAGAGAACACTGCGTGAATCAAGCCTTCATGGTCGAATTGCTGCAAAGAAACCACTTCTAAAATAAAGGACACCAATAATAAGAAGAGACCTGCTTGGGCCAAGAAACACAAGCAATGGACATTAGACCGGTGAAAATCTGTCCTTTGGTCTGATGTGTCCAAATTTGAGATTTTTGGTTCCAACTGCCGTGTCTTTGTGAGACACAGAGTAGGTGAACGGATGATCTCCGCATGTGTGGTTCCCACCGTGAAGCATGGAGGAGGAGGTGTGAGGGTGTGGGGGTGCTTTGCTGGTGACACTATCAGTGATTTATTTAGAATTCAAGGCACACTTAACCAGCACGTCTACCACAGCATTCTGCAGCGATACGCCATCCCATCTGGTTTGCACTTAGTGGGACTATCATTTGTTTTTCAACAGGACAATGACCCAAAACACACCTCCAGGCTGTGTAAGGGCTATTTGACCAAGAAGGAGAGTGATGGAGTGCTGCATCAGATGACCTGGCCTCCACAATCACACAACCTCAACCCAATTGAGATGGTTTGGGATGAGTTGGACGGCAGAGTGAAGGAAAAGCAGCCAACAAGTGCTCAGCATATGTGGGAACTCCTTCAAGACTGTTGGAAAAGCATTCCTCATGAAGCTGGTTGAGAGAATGCCAAGAGTGTGCAAAAGCTGTCATCAAGGCAAAGGGTGGCTACTTTGAAGAATCTTAAATATAAAATATATTTTGATTTGTTGAACACTTTTTTGGTTACTACATGATTCTATGTGTTATTTCATAGTTTTATAATATAATAATATATAATAATATAATAATAATAAATGTTTTGATGTCTTCACTAATATTGTACAATGTAGAAAATAGTACAAATAAAGAAAAACCCTTGAATGAGTAGGTGTGTTTACTCACTCCATTTAGAAATTCCTGCTTCCTCGCGCACGACACACATCCGCAATGGCATGAGCGCGTGGTGACTCACGGGGCGCGCGAGGAGCCTATTTCTGGACCGAATATATAGAGCGATGCGCACATGGGGAGGCACAAGATTCAACTTAGCTTAGTTGAGAGACAGTAGTAGACAACATATACTTTGAATATTAAGGACAGAGAGAGCCCTTTAGTCAGATTCTGGAACAGTGCTTTTATCTGTGTGTTCTTAATTACACTGTTCTTGTTTATTCCAGTGTTGACTGTTTCTATTTTGAAAAACTGAATGGCAATGTGATTATGCATTCTAACACCTTTGCTATGGGAACTAAGATATACTTGCCCTATAGGCCTAGTGAAAGTTGGATAATGTAATTAAGAAAGCTGCCATATTCAAAATAATTCAAAAGAGGGGGAAACATACCTAAATATTTAATTAGTGCATACAACTAACAGGGAAACAGTCTAAACAAGTCACAAACATGTTGTCAAATCATGAGCAGAATGGGAATAAACTACATCATGACAACGTTTGCACTGCGGTGGTCCTGATGGTGCTCAGAAGTGATAAAGACTGCCCATCATCAACCAAGGATACAGCTTCTGTATTGCCTGAAGCATCATATATAATTTCATGAACTGTATTTAGCATAAAATATAACTTCCACTTATTAGCTTATTCTGGTTGAGAAACAGCATCTCCTACATGACACCAATCCTTGCTCTCTCTCCATCAATCCAATGAACATGCTTCTAACCCAACTAACCTTGTCCGTCACATTTTTCACCAACCCACAACTTCCACAAATTACTGTGCTTCCCTCTGGGCTGGTGAAAATACAGATGTAGGATCTTAATTTGAGCCAGTTTGCTACAGCAGGAAAATAATCCTGCAGCAACAGGTAATGTTGATTATAGTTAATGGACATTTTTTGTAGAGGTTGATACATTTTTTGTATCGGCAAATCAACTCTGTAAATTACAAACGTTATACGTTTTTTAAATCCTTGAATACACTACAAGTTAGCAAAACTTTCAGCAACTAGACTGATCAAATCAAGATCTTTCATCTGTACTTGAGCTCAGAAATATAATGCTACCCCCCAGTACATCCCATTTCCTCTCCCAAAACATTGACATGTGTGTTATGTGCCGAAGTGTGTGTGACTCACGGGATATAAGAGTTAAAACAAAGTGGAATGGAACACACACCAGCTGAGTCACTTTGTGAGTAACACACTTGGAATACACCTTCAGCATTTAATAACTGCTTTGAACTAAGGATCTGCGCTTTCTTGTATGGGTGGTGGGTGTGTGTGGAGGTGTCTGTGGGTGGGTGTGTGTGGGGGTGTGTGTCTGTGGGTGGGTGTCACCACATCAGACTCACCATTGGGCGACCTCTCTCAAGCTTAGCTAGAGTGACACCTTCTGGTTATGCATTGGTTCTGCAGGCTACAACTAAGCCCAAGATGTTCATACTTAACTAAAGATTCATTTTAATATCCAATATCTATAAGTACGGCAATACATCAAGGAAGCATGTTTGAATGAATTGGATACGTATCCAGTTGTGTTTCACTTATGTGATAAGGACATAGAAGCCCTTAGCAATGCATTGAAGAGATAGTAGTGATGATGTCAATGCCACGGTACTACTGTACCTCGGCACCATTCTGTCTCTGTGTCAGGTTCAAGATGGCCTCACCTGAGCTCTCTTCGGGAGGCTGCAACACTATAGAACATTCAGATAGAAATAGATTGTGTAAAACTGATAGGACAGTCGGTCATGCATAATAGGGAATTGTGCCTCCGGACCAGTGGATTTCTAGCCTGGTCCCAGATCTGTTTGTGCTATCTTGGTCATTGTCAATACTCAGGGCATCTCACCCACTTCTGTGAGTCAGGCTACTAGGCCTCCGGTGTCAGGTTTGGAACGCCCACATGAAGGAGGTACGATGGGACTGAGTGGTTAGGGGTCACGTGTTACAGGCTAGCTCAGGGTTGTGTCCAAGGTCGGAGGGGTGAGGGGTGAGGAAGTGCATCCATGGCAACAGGGCTATCTGCATCCTCCATGTGTTTCCTGTTGAGGTGCTGCTATTCAGGGTGAGTCGGAGAGAAAGAAATAGAAAAAAGAGTAGCGAGAGAGAGAGGAGAGAAAGAAAAGACTGATGAGCCCAAAGCTGAGTTGTTTGCAATAAGCTTCTGTCTGAGAACGTATCAGTGTGAGTGTGTGTATGCCATGTGTAAATGTGTGTAGTGTGTGTCAGTATGTCTATGCTTGTGTGAACGTATTTGTGATATGTGTATGAGAGAGTGTGTGTGTAGTGAGTGTGTGTGGTCCTTCTCTCGATTCATCCCATCATGCCCCTAAAGCGTCCTGATCAGAGGGCCGTGGGGTTTGTGAGGTTGACAGTGTGTGTGTTGGGTTGGCTGCTGTGTGTGTGTTGGGCTCCAACAGTAGTGGAGGCTGCTGGTACTCCCCCTGCTCCCCAGCAAAAAGCCCTCAGCCTGCGGAGAGCCTTCCTGGGGCTGGACAAGTGCAATGCCTGCGTGGGGACGTCCATCTGCAAGAAGCTCTTGAAGGACCAGATAAGGTAGGTACAGCTCTCTCTATCTGTCTGTCTTACTAAGAATCAATAGCTGGGTACAATAGTGCTGACTTTGCTCTCACCTCTCAACTATTAAATACGTGTAAGTCCCTTTACAGTGAGCTCAGAACAGCAGGAGGGATTGCATGTATGAACATGTCACAGTTAGTCTTAGTGAGTTGACGGTGTTATGACATAGATAGACATCTGTAATAGTCTGTGACCTGCTGTCCTAGCTGAATGGGTGTCCACCAACCACTGTGGTCATGATTCTGGGGGAAAACACACACAAACATATTTCCTGTGCACTTAGTACTGTATGTTCCTAACACACTTCAATGTTACAGTAATGTGTGGCAAGAGTCCTTGAGTGTAAAGTCTTAAGGAATATTATGACAAAACATTTTCCACATACAGTAGTTAACGTTGATACACCCAAAACACACGGCACACAATGTCCCAAGTCACCTGTCAAACTTCTGCCATCTGCCAGAGAAAATGCTTCCACTTCAATTGTTTCCAACAGATGCCGCACAATGGCCAGGAAAGATCAACTGAGCCTCAACTGTGATCCAAGACTAGCATAGACTAACAAGACGAACATAGAAAATATCAGGGTAATAAAGTTGTTTTCTGTTTAGGATTTTTACCTTATTCTTATGACAAGCCACCATATCGGCAACTGTTCAAGTGTCCAACTCAAGGTTTGGTCTAGTTACATTCTCCACACCGCTTTTCCTTTAACACACAGTATTTCAAAGGATACTTTGGGTGCATCTCAATAGTCTTAAGTAGCTTCCTCTCTGCAGCTTGAATCACCCCCTCATCTCCTCGCCCCAGGTTTGATTGGTGGATGTCCCTGGATACCACACTCCCATTGGATGAGAAGCAGAGTTTCCCGGGTAACCTTACGGATGATTCATTAAGCTGGCGTCCGGTGGTCTTGTCGTTCCTTTCCTCCCCCCGTCTGCACTCGTCCGCCGACCGTTCCATCTGTCGCTCGGTGGGACGGCAGGGTCCCTGCAGCATCGAGGCCGTCCTCAGGGCCACGCCCAGATTCCAGAGCTTGAACCAATCACATCTTCTGCTGCCCCATATGGTGAAAGTACGTATAGGTAGAGCAATATAAATAGAGATATGTACACTATATATAAAAAAGTATGTGGACACCCCTTCAAATTAGTGGATTTGGTTATTTCAGCCACAGCCGTTGCTGACAGGTGTATAAAATCGAGCACACCGCCATGCAATCTCCATAGACAAACATTGGCAGTAGATTGGCCTTACTGAAGAGCTCAGTGACTTTCAACGTGGCACCGTCGTCATAGGATGCCACCTTTCCAACAAGTCAGTTTGTCCGATTTCTGCTAGAGCTACCCAGGTCAACTGTAAGTACTGTTATTGTGAAGTGGAAACGTCTAGGAGCAACAACGGTTCAGCTGCAAAGTGGTAGGCCACACAAGTTCACAGAACAGGACCGTGCAGAAGAGCGTAGTGCACAAAAATCATCTGTCCTCGGTTGCAACACTCACTACCGAGTTCCAAACTGCCTCTGGAAGCAACGTCAACACAAGAACTGTTCGTCGGGAGCTTCATGAAATGGGTTTCCATGGCCGAGCAGCCGCACACAAGCCTAAGATCACCATGCTGGAGTGGTGTAAAGCTCGCCGCCATTGGACTCTGGAGCAGTGGAACCGCGTTCTCTGGAGTGATGAATCACGCTTCACCATCTGGCAGTCTGACGGACAAATTTGTTTGGCTTATGCCCGGAGAACGCTACCTGCCCCAATGTATAGTGCCAACTGCAAAGTTTGGTGGAGGAGGAATAATGGTCTGGGGCAAGGCCCCTTAGATCCAGTGAAGGGAAATCTTAACGCTACAGCATACTATGACATTCTAGACGATTCTGTGCTTCCAACTTTGTGGCAACAGTTTGGGGAAGGCCCTTTCCTGTTTCAGCATGACAATGCCCCCGTGCACAAAGCAAGGCCCATACAGAAATAGTTTGTCGAGATCGGTGTGGAAGAACTTGACTGGCCTGCACAGTGCCCTGACCTCAACCCCATCGAACACCTTTGGGATGAATTGGAATGCCGACTGCGAGCCAGACCTAATCGCCCAACATCAGTGCCCGACCTCACTAATGCTTGTGTCTGAATGGAAGCAAGTCCCCGCAGCAATGTTCCAACATCTAGTGGAAAGCCTTCCCAGAAGAGTGGAGGCTGTTATAGCAGCATAGGGGGGACCAACTCCATTTTAATGCCCATGATTTTGGAATGAGATGTTCGACGAGCAAGTGTCCACATACTTTTTGGTCATGTAGTGTATACTGTATATGACTAAGGGACTGGTAGGGGTGTGAATAGATGTAAACAGGTAGAGGTGTGTATGGGTACAGATGTGCAAACAGGTGAGTAAACTTCAACATTCTGTAACGTGGCACCCTCCTGAACCCTTGGCTGCACCCCATCCAGGGTCTGGCACCTCCCCTGCTGCGCTGTCCCTCCCAGAGGCTGCTGGACCGCGTTGTGCGCCGCTATGCTGAGGTGGTGGACGTGGGCAGTGTTCAGATGAAGCACTTCTCAGAGAGAGACAAACTACGGCTGCTCTACACGCTAGCTGTCAATCAACAGCCTCTCATACTACAGGTGGGCCAGAGACATACATAGACACTCAAAGCCAGTTTCCCTGACACAGATAAATCCTAGGACTTAAAAAGCATGTTCAAATGTAGATTTTCCACTGAAAGTGTTTATTTTTGCAAGGACTATGAATAATCTGTTTCCAGGAAACCAGCCCTTGAGTGTAGGCATAAGTATACTGTAGCATCCTAAGTGCAAAACCAGGAACCTTGTGGACATCGTTGTGTAATGGATTCGGTTTTGGACGGATTTGGATGACCGATGTAATCAAGGTTGTGGGTTCACCAGTTACTGTATATAGCTATACTTTAACAATACTGACAATAGAAAGGTTAAAGCAATTGGTATCCTATAAATACACTGACCATGGAGATTTTGATACACAATAAAAGCAGCAGAGACCTCAGATGACTGTGTCCAGAACAGAAGGAACACCTTTGATCCAGCTGCTTCCCTCGGTTCCCCCTGTAGCTGTAACCAAAACAAACAACCCAGCCCGCTGATGTTTGCTCACCATGTTCCTCTCCTCTTCTCCTCTGCTGCTCTCCTCTGTATCCGTTTTCCTCCTCTCTTTTCTTCTCCTATTTTCTTTTAATCCTCTCCTCATCTCCCGTCCTCCTAAACCCCTCCCTCCCCTCCCCTCCCCCTCCCCAGATGTTCCCAGGCACCGAGGGCTGGCCATTTCCCCGCTACCAGGGCTCGTGTGGCAGGCTGATGGTGTGGGCAAGCTCCAGGCCTCTGTGGGGCCTTTATGGTTCCTCCAGGGAGTTCCTCCAGAGGGTGGACATGGCCTACCAGCTGCTCCACATCACCCAGGGACTGGGCCACAACAGTCTGGGCTTCCTGCTCTACTACACCAGGCTAGGGGAGGATATGTTCGGCCTGCTGGACGACCAGCGAGTGTTCCTCACAGATGCCAGCAGCATAGGGGTCATTGACCTGGAGCAGGGTGAGTGGAACAAATGCGTACTGGCGCTGTCGTTATCAGAGGGTATGGGGACTCAGCAAATATGATGTGGATGATGATGACAAGGGATTCCACTTTCCCAAAGTATTCAAATCTCTTTTACATGGGGTTGGGGAAAGGGGGCGGGCTCATCTCATACATAACAATGACATTTGAAAATAAAATATATGTTCATAGCTGGGAGAGTCAGAAAGAGTCAAGAGATGTGATCAGAATAAATATTCCTTTGAATATTATTTCGTAATTAAAACAATTAAAAGTACCTATCGTTATGAGGTTATTGTGTGGCTTACACAAGCATGTCTGTCTGATCCACTGCATAGTAGTAATGCATATAGAAACACACAGCAGACAGGGAGTTTTCCAGAAACTGTACTATCAACGTTAAATCTTTAATCATTATCAGCCAGATGTAGCTGATAGTGGTGTTATTTATAACCTCACACAGGAAGGATATATTTGACCTGTTCCTCTTTTTATTTAACACACTTCCTCTTTTTCTGTCCTGCAAATCATTATATTGGGGTCACAAACATCTGTGCTCTTATCGGACAAGTTCAGGTAGAACATCCCCGTTTCAAAAAGTTTTCTCCCTATTGAACATAACCAACCCAGGTTTCTTTTGTGTGCTAGTAATCGGTGGCAATGGTGTCTCTTTTAGCTCTTCTACTGAGATGCTGTGTGCTGTAACACAATTGTAATTTCCTACAACAGACGAAAAGCTCCCCAGTAGTGAGAGTAGATAAAAAAGAAATAAAAAAGAAATACAAACATCTAAAAACAGTCAGATTGATTATTTGAATTTTCTGAGTCCTAAATTCAAAGGCAGTAGTTGTCTGAATGAACTGTGAAGTTCCTTTCTTTATGAAACAAAGATAATATATTCCACTGTATCAGATATACAGAAGCTCAGTGGGGACATTTAATGATGTCTGTTATCTTTGTGTTGGTCAGTATCCTTGCAGTGGCATCATATGGAAGATTGGGTTGGAATAACGTGGGCAATAGGCCCACACACAGACTAGGGAAGCGAAGCAGGGTTTTGACAAGTTTATCCCTATAATGACTGTCATATCAGCAGCAAAAGAGGACTCAATGGCCAACCTTGTTTGTTGATATTACAAACTAGGGAATGGTTGCAGAGAAATTATACAGTATATGTATTTAAATGTATACACTGAGTATACTAAACATTAGGAACGGAACACCTTCCTAATATTGAATTGCAACCCCCCAAACAAGGCTTTAGTCTACATCTGTTGTCTACGAAGCATGTGACAAATAACATTTGATATCACCTACACTTATTCAGTCTTTTTAGTTAGGATCAAAGCATTTGGATAAGGTCACACTCACCCTCTCTCTCTTCCAGGGTTTCCCCCAGACCCTCCCTCCCAAACAGGCTCTGGCGGGGACATCTTCTCCTGCCTGGGTCAGGGTGTGTCCCCCTGCCATCGCTCCCCTCCCTGCAGCTCTGTCCGCCCCACCCAGAGCTTCACTCTGCTCTGCACAGCCCTCCTGCCCAGACTGCTGCTCACAGAGAGGGGGGCCCAGCCAACCAGGCTACCCATGGAGGGTGAGGCAGAGGCGGGGAGGTTGGCAAGAGACGTGCCCCTGTTGCTGGGTGTGTGTGCAGACCCTAGCCAGCCTGACTGGAGAATCATGGCAGCAGTAGGATCTCTGATGGACCTGCTAAAACCCCTGAGGCCCTGCAACCCACGCTTCACCTACAGGTACCCAGAGTGCAGATACAACCAGGACTACTGAGAGCTGGCAGGACTACAATACCCATACTACCCTGCTACAGCCATAGACAATGTTAAGTCCACATGTGCCCAGAGTACATATGACCTGGGATCCAGAAACTTGGTGGGACTGCAGAGCTTTGATATTAGACTGGCAAAGGGACTCTGGAGTGGTGTGTGCTGGAATGACTATGCACTGAGCTGAATTGACTATGCACACAAAGGGGGTGGTGCTTCTCCATGGGGCAGTGTATGTGAAGTCTGTAGTACTTAACAGCTTGTAGTGCTTGCCTGTAGTGTAGTGCTTACCTGCTTCAAACCTCAGCTAGCTACTTTCAGATAGTGAACCGGTCAGCAGCTCTGACCTCAGCTAGCTACTTTCATGTAGTGAACCGGTCAGCAGCTCTGATCTCTGCTAGCTACTTTCATGTAGTGAAGCGGTCACAGCAGTTCAGACTTCAGCTAGCTACTTTCAGTTAGTGAACCTGGTCACAGCAGCTCTGTGCATCAGAGGAGAGATGAAAATGTAAAGAAACATGAGAAGTTCCAGATGTAAATAAAGATAACACATAAAACATCCTTCAAACAATAAAAGCATTTCAAGGACGGTCTCTGCACAATGCTTTACTTAAGCAGTTTTATTCATTTAGAAAACAGGAGGGGCCGTGTATAAAATGACACGACTCCTTCAAATGTAATGGCAGGAACTCTGAAGAAAAAATTACAGCATTCCATCAAACAAAGATTTTCAAGCAATAAATATGCATTTTTATAAATAAGGTCAATTTACAACAAGATTAGAAACAAAACAGAAATCACAAATTAAAGTTTATTCCTTAAAAGTCTATGTGCAACCCATTTCTCTTGGTGACTGTTTTTTTCTCTCATTTTATTCCCCTTTTATTTTTACCTACAAAACCAAAACATTATTATGGTTCCAAAATAACAATAAAAGCTGTAAAAAAAATATAAATCGCTCTAACTCTTCATATAACAAAATGTTGTTTTCTTATTATTTTCTTGCCCAAAGTGTCTATCTAACATACAAAAGACCAGCTATGCTAGGACTTAAACTCTCAAGGGGAAACAAACTTAGAGAAGGTGTATATCAGCCCACAAACAGAATTTAAAAAAGGAACAATTCTGCAAGTCAGTAGTCTGTGTGACGTTGTTGCCAGTTATAACATAATATATACAAAAAGTCGGCAGTCATTATTTTTTGTCCGTTTTTGTGTGTTTTTCTAGAGAAGTTACAGCTGAGCCAGGCAGCGTTGGAACAGTCTGGTAACAGTAGCTGGCAGGAGAAATGCCCTCCCCCTCCAGTCCTCTAGGGGGAGGACACCTCTGCTCTGGGCAGGTTGCATAGACACACAGCTTTTCACACAGCTGCCTTGTGGGATAGCTACAGAGAGAAGTGGAGGACTGCTGGCTCACTTCCTGAATATCAGAAAAAGGTATTCTGGTGGGTTCCGGGAGTCCAGGAAGGTTTCTTATTGTCCTCAGAACAACAGAATGTTACCGTCAAGAGGAGGAAGGCAGAGGAGCCGCCTGTGGAGGGAGAGAGAGAGAGACGGGGATGAGATTCATTTTGGCTATGTAAACAGTAAACTCCTAAAGCCTTACTAGTGAACTTTTACAAAGTGTGCATACTCATATCCTCTTACTTGAACGTATGTGAATTCTGACTCACTAGTATGTAGACTTACTACTTTCAATACTGTCACCTGTGTAGTGTAATGTTTTTTTAAAGAGTGAGTCTTCAATGATACCACATGGCAGTGACTGCAGTAATTATGCAAGGAGGAATGATAGCCTACCAAGTGAATGTTGGCTCTTTGCACAATGCACGTCTCCCTCTGTCCCTCTGACTTGTCAATATGGTGTTTGTGTCGATTAATTTTTCCACTTGTTTATGCCTCCATCCTTGGTAGAGTAGCTAGTTAGCTAACTAACTAGCTAAATTGATCTGCACTGTTTTTAGCATTTCTAAGCACACTACTCGACCAGGCATTAGATTAGAGGAAGAGGGAAGAAAAATTATGTGGACTTTTAGCTTTATATTTTTATCGACCAAGAGCCGGCAATTACCAGTTAATAGAAACACTGCTGTAAACTATTCATGTGACGTGGTCATTAACCTATTGGTCATCATAAAATCACTAGTGTCCTTGCTGACTTACGAGTGTGAACTGGTCATAGACCTGGGTGAGGTCGTCCATCTTGTACTGCTCCAGCACCACAAAGTTATCCAGGTTACAGCTCCCCCTACGGGCACAGTCCTGACAGTGCACCACGTACGTCTTCCTGCTGTTGCTCTCACTGGTTACAAACAGCAGGTCAAACACCTCCACCTGCAGATGGAGAGAGGTGAGATTGTGAAAGGAGGTAGGTGTGTGTGTGTGTGTGTGTGTGTGTGTGTGTGTATGTGAACGTTTAAACGTTAAAATGTTGAATCCCTAACCAATTATCTTTCCCCCCCCACAAAACTTAAATCACAGTGCAGTTATCACAAAACTACCACTAACAGCTCCCGATCATCATCATAAAGGGAAAACAGTTTACAAATAGGCCTACCTAACGCAACAATGGGAGCTTGGGCGCGCAGCACCCGTGGGTGTAGAGGGAGCGGTCAGATCGAAATTGAGTGAGAGACACGTAACGGAGAGAAAAGAGAATGTAGGAAGAAGAAATGTGATCACTTGGCTAAGTTTATTTTTTGTTGTGAGTCGCTAATGCACACGAGGCTTTTTGCCCCTTGCCAGGTAGTCGCTGTAAATAAAAATGTGTTCTTAATTGACTTGCCTGGTTAAATAAAGGTTAAATAAAAATAACAAATGGAAAGAACAACGTGAATTAAAGGTTGCTTTCGGGACAACAATTCAGCTGCCCGAAGCAGATTCCAGATGCCGCCTACTGTATGACTGCGGTAGAACTTCATTGCCCCGAGCGGTCATACCACGCAATAGGATTTGACATGACATTTTATGAAAACCACTAAAATAAAATTGCAGTTTAAACGTTAAAGAAAGATGGTCCCTTTGTCACATCCCTAGTGTGTGTACCTCGCAGATGCTGCAGTAGTGTGCGGGCTCGTCCCTGGTCCTGCCATGCCACACCAGCTCCTTGCCTGACGCCTGCAGCAGCTCCCGCAGCATCTGACACTGCTTCAATGTCCGCAGCAGACAGTACCTAGCAGAGACACACAGAGATGCACAGGGGTTAGCTGTAAGTGTGCGTGAGAGAGTGAGTGAATCTGAGTGAGAGAGAGAAAGAAAGAATGACGTGTGTGTGCGCGTAACTCACTTGATCATCTGGAAGAGCTTGCTGTCGGACACTTTGATGTTTCTGGCCATGTTCCAGGAGAGGTGTATCATGGGGACGATGGACTTGACGCTTTGCAGCTTGTTCCACTCATATCGCTCTACTGCCAGCTTATACTGGTATGCTGGAGAGAGGGAGACATGGAAGGAGAGGGAAAGAGAGAGAAAATGGGATAAAGGTGGAAAAGAAGCAGGAAGAAGAGAATCAATGGCACAATTCAATTTCAAATTTAACTATGTCATAGCCACAAGTTGACACGGTCATACGCCTAGTTTCCTGAAACAAGTCACATGTGTCACTACTTCACAGGAGAGGCATTTGAACGTAAACATATACAGTACCAGTCAAAAGTTTGGACACACCTACTCATTCAAGGGTTGTTGTTTTTTTTACACAATTTTCTACATTGTAGAATAATAGTGAAGACATCAAAACTATGAAATAACACACATGGAATCATGTAGTAAACAAAAATGTGTTAAACAAATACAATTATATTTTAGATTTTTCAAAGTAGCCACCCTTTGCCTTGCTGACAGCTTTGCACACTCTTGGCATTCTCTCAACCAGCTTCATGAGGTAGTCACCTGGAATGCATTTCAATTAACAGGTGTGCCTTGTTAAAAGTTAATTTGTGGAATTTCTTTCCTTCTTAATGCGTTTGAGCCAATCAGTTGTGTTGTGACAAGGTAGGGGTTGTATACAGAAGATAGCCCTATTTGGTAAAAAGACCAGTCCATATTATGGCAAGAACAGCTCAAATAAGCAAAGAGAAACGACAGTCCATCATTACTTTAAGACATGAAGGTCAGTCAATGTCAAGAACTTTGAACGTTTCTTCAAGTGCAGTCGCAAAAACCATTAAGCGCTATGATAAAACTGGCTCTCATGAGGACCACCACAGGAAAGGAAAACCCAGAGTTACCTCTGCTGCAGAGGATAAGTTCATTAGAGTTACCAGCCTCAGAAATTGCAGCCCAAATAAATGCTTCACAGAGTTCAAGTAACAGACACATCTCAACATCAACTGTTCAGAGGAGACTGCGTGAATCAGGCCTTCATGGTCAAATTGCTGCAAAGAAACCACTAATAAAGGACACCAATAAGAAGAAGAGACTTGCTTGGGCCAAGAAACACGCACAATGGGACATTAGACCAGTGGAAATCTGTCCTTTGGTCTGACGAGTCAAAATGTAAGATTTTTGGTTCCAACCGCCGTGTCTTTGTGAGACGCAGAATAGGTGACCGGATGATCTCTGCATGTGTGGTTCCCACCATGAAGCATGGAGATGGTGTGGGGGTGCTTTGCTGGTGACACTTGAGTAGGTGTGTCCAAACTTTTGACTGGTACTGTATATATATTTTTTGGAGAAATACCTTTTGGAACAGGTGAACTTTCATGTGTCTTAAAAACAAACTTGTTTGCCATCTGTAAATACGAATACAATTGTTAAATTACGAGCCTAGTTGGTTTAGCCACGGAAAAAGACAGGAACCTTCCCGCTAGCCATGATTGGCTGAGATAATGGATGGGCAAGACATGCCGAGAGATGCGTTCGGATTGGTCTACCATGTAACACGCTTCTGTCTATAACATGAGCTGCTCAGTATGTGTAGGTAATCCTTTCAAACACAACTTTTTTGAAAGATATTACGAAGATCTGTGAAGATGTTGATAATACTCTCCACTTTCTGGAGGACCGAGTTTTGAAATCAGTGGAATGCCCGGTGGAAGCAGAGTATGATAGCTAAGGAGATGGAGAGAATTCAGGCATTTGATTGCAAATATATGCAGAGGGAGTCGAAAAGAGAACACACAAAGGCTGTTGTATAAAACACCTGTCTCCGGATTACATCTTCAAGCTAAGGGCAACCATGGCATCCGTGACAGAGAGGGAGAAGCGTTAATCATTGTATATGGGTAAGCGAGTCTAGCTAGCTACATTTTCAGATATTATAAGTTTCTAATTTAGTCAGAAAGTCATTTTCATTGCAAGTTAAAGTGTACTGTTAGCTAGCTAGCTAACGTTTGCTGGCTGGCTGGCTCGCTAGCTAACGTTACGTGTATGATCTGTGTAGTAATATTATTCATATCGCCGAGCCAAATAGCATTGCTAGTTATAGCCTAATGTTAGCTAGCTAGCTAACAATGAATCTAGTTGGTTAGCTTTAGCTACCTGTCGATTCATGCATGGTAGTAACATTATGAGTTGGGATTATGGTTCATTGTTTAGCTAGCTAGTTAGCTACATGTCTAAACAAAAGACTCCACTATGCAAGTAACCATTTCACTGTACCATTTAAACCTTCTATATACTGTGCATGTGACAAATAAACTTTGATATAGTGTGTGTTTACAAGAGACTGTAATGTGAAGAACAACATGACCTGGACCAAAGTCAAATTAGGCAATAACGTTAGGCCAACGAGACAACGTCCAAGTTCTAAAATTCTCCGGTAGATGCCCTGCTTTTATTTTGTCACACTCACAACCATGAGCTATTTTCTGTAATTAGCTTGCCATTAACTTGTAAATAATGATCTTGTGAGTTTATTTCCCTGTAATAATGAATACAAATTAGCTAAAGTTTGTACTTAAAGTCAGTACTTTGTTGAAGCACCTTTGGCAGCGATTAAAGTCTTGCATCTTCTTGGGTATGACGCTACAAGCTTGGCACATCTCTAGTTGGGGAGTTTCTCCCATTCTTCTCTGCAGATCCTCTCAAGCTCTGTCAGTTTGGATGGGGAGCGTCGCTGAAAAGCTATTTTCAGTTCTCTCCAGAGATGTTCGATCGTGTTCAAGTCCAGGTTCTGGCTGGGGCCCTCAAGGACATACAGAGACTTGTCTCGGAGCCACTCCTGCATTGTCTTGGCTGTGTGCTTAGGGTCGTTGTCTTGTTTGAAGGTGAACCTTTGCCCCCAGTCTGAGGTCCTGAGCGCTCTGGAGCAGGTTTTCATCAAGGATCTCTGTACTTTGGTCTGTTCATCTTTCCCTTGATCCTGACTAGTCTCCCAGTCCCCGCTGCTGAAAAACACCCCCACAGCATGATGCTGCCACCACCATGCTTCACCGTAGGGATGGTATTGGCCAGGTGATGAGTGGTGCCTGGTTTCCTCCACAGATGTGAAGCTTGGCATTCAGGCCAAAGAGTTCAATCTTGGTTTCATCAAATTAGAGAATTTTGTTTCTCATGATCTGAGAGTCCTTTACGTGCCTTTTGGCAAACTCCAAGCGGGCTGTCATGTGCCTTTTACTGAGGAGGGGCTTCCGTCTGGCCACTCTACCATAAAGGCCTGATTGGTGGAGTGCTGCAGAGATGGTTGTCCTTCTGGAAGGCTCTCCAATCGCCACAGAGGAACTCTGGAGCTCTGTTAGAGTGACCATCGGGTTCTTGGTCACCTCCCTGACCAAGGCCCTTCTCCCCCAATTGCTCAGTTTGGCCGGGCGCCCAGCTCTAGGAAGAGACTTGGTGGTTCCAAACTTCTTCCATTTAAGAATAATTAAGGCCACTGTGTTCTTGGGGACCTTCAATGCTGCAGAAATGTTTTGGTACCCTTCCCCAGATCTGTGCCTCGACACAATCCTGTCTCGGAGCTCTACGGACAATTCCTTCGACCTCATGGCTTGGTTTTTGCTCTGACATGCACTGTCAATTGTGGGACCATATCACAGACAGGTGTGTGCCTTTCCAAATCATGTCCAATCAATTTAATTTACCACAGGTGGACTCCAATCAAGTTTTAGAAACATCTCAAGGATGATCAATGGAAACAGGATGCACCGGAGCTCAATTTCGAGTCTCATAGCAAAGGGTCTGAATATTTAGGTAAATAAGGTATTTCTGTTTTTTATTTTTAATAAATTTGCAAACATTTCTAAAAACGTGGTTTTCGCTTTGACATTATGGGGTATTGTGTGCAGATTGATGATGATTTTTTTTTTTAAATCCATTTTAGAATAAGGCTGTAACGTAACAAAATGTGGAAAAAGGGAAGTGGTCTGAATACTTTCCAAATGCACTGTAAATTTGATGTCGGACGACAATCGAATATTTATGATGTCACTGCGACAACTGTATACAGACATGTCGATAGACGTAGTATAAACCAGCCTTTAGTCTTGAAATCTTTGGTTGTTCAGCATACCACCTCACATGTGAATCCTTAAAGAGATGTGTGGGGCTAAGGCTTAAGCGGGTGTGAAAGATGCTGAATGGGTGTAGACAAAGAAAAGCTCTCCAGTAGGTGTACCAAAACATTCAAGGCCATTTTCTCAAAAGTGGGGTTACAAGTGTATCAACTTTCAAAGTAGAATTACTTTCTCATTGTTTTTTTTGTTTTTTTTTGTTTTTTTTAGGGGGTAGATCAGCTTAAAAATGTCAGATAGATTGTAACATCCATTTACATTTAAGTCATTTAGCAGACGCTCTTATCCAGAGCGACTTACAGTTAGTGAGTGCATACATTATTTTTTTATTTTTCATACTGGCCCCCCGTGGGAATCGAACCCGCAACCCTGGCGTTGCAAACGCCATGCTCTACCAACTGAGCTACATCCCTGCCGGCCATTCCCTCCCCTACCCTGGACGACGCTGGGCCAATTGTGCGCCGTCCCGTGGGTCTCCCGGTCGCGGCCGGCTACGACAGAGCCTGGATTCGAACCAGGATCTCTAGTGGCACAGCTAGCACTGCGATGCAGAGCCTTAGACCACTGCGCCACTCGGGAGGCCCCGAGTCAATGTAATTGTCTGCATCACTTCCAATCCCCCATATGTTTTTTATCTCGCAAATATATATACACACACACACACACACACACACACACACACACACACACACACACACACATACAGTGGGGGAAAAAAGTATTTAGTCAGCCACCAATTGTGCAAGTTCTCCCACTTAAAAATATGAGAGAGGCCTGTAATTTTCATCATAGGTACACGTCAACTATGACAGACAAATTGAGAGAAAAAAATCCAGAAAATCACATTGTAGGATTTTTTATGAATTTATTTGCAAATTATGGTGGAAAATAAGTATTCGGTCACCTACAAACAAGCAAGATTTCTGGCTCTCACAGACCTGTAACTACTTCTTTAAGAAGCTCCTCTGTCCTCCA